ACATTTTTACGAAATTTAAAATTGGAAGTAGTCACCAACGTCATGCTATATCTTATACACTTTTAAGAATCGCGAACAATAAATATACCTCTCAAATACTTGATCGTGAAGGGAAGATCGTCATATAAATTTTATCAAGCCGTAAACTGGCTTTATATGCGGTGTCAAAAACGGGCGTGACGTCCTTACAGTTCAACTTGCTCTTTCTGTAAATGTAGTGACGTTTAGGTGAACAAGATGTAACGTTATTTTTCTTATTCTTTGTCGTTATTTTTTTATTTAATTTTTTCAAATTCAGGTTACAAAGACCCATAAGTACATACCATATAGAATAAACATACATAACAATATAATAAAACACTAATTCCTAATTATTTACATATTATATTTATTTATATTCTACAATGTGTAACACAATGTGGGTGTCCGGTAGCCGGCCTTGGAAACATGGCACCCATCGGCCAAAACTCCTCCTTCATGAAGATAGATAGATGTTGAGTTGGTACTCTCATCATAATACAATCATCAACCTCGTGGCGGGACCCCAACTGCTCGACCTTCAGGGGGCCTATTAAAACCTCTTAAAACAATATTACTTTAACCTTACATTGACTTTTTGTGCCATGAAGCGCTTAAAGTAAGCCTATTATAATGTTAAGACTATGATGTTTTATTGGCAGCTTTGTGACTATTCATTCACTCAGTTCGTACTATGACGCGACTTTAACATTAAAGTAATATTTGAATTTGACATAAGAAATGTCAAATTTAGCAATCTTTAAATATACCAATCTTTAAATAGTTACTCGGACGCAGTGGAAACAATATTATTTTCGAATTTATTGTCTAAAATTGATTTGTGATGATTAAAAGTTAAGTTGAACTTATTTATTTACATAAATCTCTTCAATATTTTTTTTATTTAATAGTACATAGGAAATCATTTCTCGTTAAATAAAAATACGCGATGGTTATTCCGTAAAATTATGACAGCGACGTCTATATGCTCCTTGGCGACACTAACATTTGACACTAGACTATGATTCCAAATTCACAACGTGACTATCAAGGCTCAGCTTGTTTTATTTATTTTTCTTTGTGAAAAAGCAGAAAAATAATTGAAAACAACGTAGTTTTAATAGATTTTATTATTACATACTTTTCTTTTTTTAACAGTTAAATATCTCTGAATGTAAATAACATTAAGTACTTAAACATTATACTGCGATAAGACAATTCGGAACATCAAAAAAGAAAGTGATGGTGTTATATAGTTCATATAGCGTTATTTCTTTCCTATTTTTAGTAAGACAATATTGAGAAATCGTTCTTTTAATCATGGTACGAATATGAGTAATATTATAACAAGCTTACTTTAAGCTCACTTTAAGCTTAATTTGAAATAAGAATGTTTTTGGAAAGATTATGGTACGCCCCCAGGGCAGCATTGGCTTTCTCCCGTATATGCTCCACAATAGCAGGCTTTGTGGGTAATCGAGCTGTGACACGTGTAATAACATTGTCGGTATCGCTGAGCGCAGTAAATAATTAGGGCCAGTATTTATAAAGTTACTTTTTCAGACACAACCAGCATTCGAGTGACATAGGAACTTTGTATACTTTTTGTACTAAAGAAAGGTTGCGTTCGAATTAACAGATCGGCAGTTTCAATCATTTTGGCAGTATGTACAATCAACAGCACACCAAGCTATTATACACTTTCGTTCGAATGTCACCGCAGAAGCAACGGAATAAGATCCGCCAAAATGTGGTTTGAAGCGCTGCCGTTTGCCGCACTTGCGACCTTCATTAATAGAAATTATTAAATTACATTACAAAAGCCTTTGAATGTATTATGTACTTTTAAAAATAAAATAATGTGCCCATGAAGCAAAATACCCTATCTACACTATTTAAAATACTATCCTTCGTTGTTCCATAGCTGATATCAATGTCTTTGTAGACATCGTCCACATTCCGATCCTTTCTTCCAAAATGTTATCTTGTTCCATAAAGGTACTTCTACTAGGAGGTTATAGCGACACCTGTCTCGAGCGAGCGCAACAAATTTCATGTACAAAATGTCGTTTTTTGTTGCTACTGCTAGATGGCGTTGTACAGTTTGTCGTTCAAAGTTGATAGATGTTTTACATGGTGGCTGTGAACTGTGATGAAGCCACAAAATTCACATTTCTGTATAATTTTCCCCGTTTTATTGTGCCACAAAAACTAATCGTCAAGTGTCAAATCAAAAATAAATTGGTTTTGGAACTTTATTCTGGTTCATAAGGTAGCGTTATGTTTGCGGTCAAACACTGATCAATCGTTCTTTTTGTACAAATGGCATTTTGTTGTTCTTGTTATCTGTATATGTCACTCCCTACGCTAGCTGAGAGATGAATATGTGTATATTTTTTCCTCTAAGGTCGGATTTTGAATATCTAATTCTATTCACATGTTATAAACTTTTAAATGGAATACGCCCACGAATTTGTGTAGCGAAAATGAAATGTAGCAAAGATAAACTATAATCCACTAAGTGGATTCCAATTTTTGTGGACATTATTATAAGTTATCATTTTAATATAATCTCAGTATGCTCTTATATGCCTTTAGGGATGTTGTTAGAAAAGTAACGTTAGGTAACCAAATTAAGAACCAAAAAAGACTAAGTCCAAAAGAACCAAGAATAAAAGAGAGCGCATGAAAAAACTAACAGGAGCGTAGAAAGAGAAAGAGAAATGTCAAGAAAGTAGCAAATCCTTAAACGAAAATGTTACATTGTCTTGCATTTGGAGTGGTCTCAGAGCGTTTGCACCATACGTCCGATTTGTATCACTTCCGAATCCGAGAAATGGCAATCCGAAATGTCACAAGCGACTTCCGAAGTGGGTCCGAGTTTCTTAGATTTGTATAGTCTCGGATTTGGAACGAATAAAAATGGAATCCAGTGCGTGAACGCGCTTACTCTTCATGGTAAACACATGTATCTGACTTTTGGAGAAAAATCAAGACTTATGTTGAATAATCACGAATGAAAAACAAGTCCACAAATGAGGTAGAAGTGTAATTCAGCGGAATCCCGGATACAGAAGCGTAGGCAAGCATCTGAAGCTGTGGACTAAAGGCCATGATGGTAGGCACAAAAGGTCGGAAGGAATGGCAAGTATTGGAACAGACCTACACTCACAATAGTGTGAATAGCGGTTGAAAATAATGAAAGTATTACAGATTTTAAATTATCGTCTAAGTTTGTAATATACTACAAGTTGTTAAAAAGTTACGTCTGAATTTTCCAGGATAACTTTAACCACGATGCTAAACAACTTTCTCTAATGAACTCCCATTCGGTTTTGCGAAATTTCAACTTTTTGTTGTCACCTTTTTGACGCCAGCTTGCTTTGTATTGCCAGCTGGCAGACTGACGGAAAATTGGACTTGTGTTCTTTTGGTTCAGGTGATTATGTACTTTATTATCAACGACTTGAAAAAACTGGTCTAATAAAAGAGCTTGACCTTGTATCCTTTACTATCTTTTGCACCTTAGATAATTCATAAAATTTCTTTTTCAAAGATCAAACCTCTTATGTACTTATGTTTGTTTGTAATTTTCAATCAGCCATAAGCCGATTTGTTTTGGATTATTTAACATTTTCCTCCGCTTAGCCAGTTTATTTTATACCCTAAAATGAGTCGTGTTTGTGTTGTCAAAAGAAGAAATTTTAAATTCCCGTTTCATGGACGGGTTAAATTTAATTTGTCAGTCTGTGATGTCGTTTTCGTAATGATCAATTCTAAATTTAATAAAAGCCCAATCAAATGTAAATATTATCGGATTGGAATATTACCAATCAGAGTTTTATGTTTAGATCACAAACTCGTAAAAAAACCTAATGCTAGCATAGTGCTAAACAATCTACTGTACAATGGGTAGTGTAAAGAACTTTTCTAGCTTACGACACTAATTGACACCGAGTTTATACGCCTTTACGTTGAAAGAGTTGAGGCAAAAGACAGCTTATAGCCTATAAGGTAATCGATATTCCCTCTTTCCGGCCTGACTGTCAAACTTCATGAAATTTCAACGTTTTTTGCCTTACGCGAAGCCTAATGGGTTAAGCAACGCTGTTCATTGTACTTCTTTGTAGAATAGGCGTCTCGATTTTTATAGAACATATTTTTGCTCGTTTTCAGGTTTGGTATCTGTCCCGTTAGTCATAAATCGTCGATAGTGACTGCGTAAAACATTTATATTTACAATTTTAGTTCTTTATCTAAAATTTTCAAATATTTGATGTGGTCGTTAGCCACCATCAACCATCACCATCAACATAGTAATGTCATAGATGAGATTCTCTTGTAAAAGCGTAATCGCTTTCCCAAAATACTAACTTTAACGTGTCCTCTGTATCTAGCCGTGACACTCATGATTGATGACTTCGGAGTTCGTAGAAAGCTATTTTGTATTGTCAGTCAGTTAGAGTGGACAATCTGAGTTTAAGTAATTACATATCATATTAGTAATAGTTTTAATATTATTAGAATTTGGAGACATGTAAATAAAGTTTTAAAAAGCATTAGCGAAGATGGAAATAATTTAAAAGCAATAAAAAATAAAAAGGGGTCAGGACAGAGGAGGGGAAGGCTTTAAAAGTGTTCTGCAAAAAAAAAGAGAAAGTCAATTTAAGAAGCTATAAAGTCAAGGACCTGACAGGTGGAGGAGGCTACACTGACACTTACATGGCTCTTAAACAGGACGATCGATGATGATTATAGATATCTGTCCGTTGCGTCGGTTTGTCATTATCAATTTTTCTTAATATAAATTACGTTGTATTGACCTCAAAATTAAGCAGTTTCAGAGGTCAAGGAGCTGGCAGGTGGAGGAGGCTACACTAACATGCTCTTAAACAGGACGATCAATGATGATTATAGATATTCGTCTGTTTCGTCGGTTTTGTCATAATGAATTTTTTAATATAAATTTATATTGTACTGACCTCATAAGCCTTCTTGCCCTTCTCGCCATGTTCAGACATGTGTTCAGCGAAATGTTCGCGCTCTGCACCTGTGAACAGTAGAAAAAACTTTACACATTACCGTCAATATCTGTTATGAAATAAAGTACGTCCTTTGATAAAACTTCATCCGTTCGGTCGGTTTTCTATCGCTTTATTACACATTGAACAATATGATCCTCTATTATTGTTTAAAATAAGTTATATAGAGGAAAGATTAGAATTAATTTAATAATGGCAAGATTTAATAACATTTATTGCCAGTAGAGTTCTTTGTGAAAGAATTCATCCAGGGAAGCCACTATATTAGTTTTAATTTCGCTTGACAATGTCTGGTATAATTACAGGCAATGAGATTTAAAGATAAAAATATTTGAATAGATCGTTCTAAATGGTGATAACTCTGTACAAAACGCGGGGGTCGTCTACAAACCTATCAAAACGTCGCAATTTTTCCGAAGGACAAACTGGTTATATCCATGAAAGGTTGGTAGGTCAAAGCATGGAAGTTAAAAAATCAGAACCACCCTCGAAATAAGTTTAGACCATAGATTTGGATATACTAAATCTCTGGTTTAGACTGTTCCCAAATTATCGGCATCATTAAAAGTTTCTGAGATTTTCTTTGAAATTTAAGCTTGTTGATGATTTTCGTCATAATGTTTATCGTTTCCAATAAATTTCTAACCAATTGGTACAAAATTTGTTAATTAATTGAATTGTAGTTGGAGTTTGTTTGACTGTAGATTTGTAATATTCATTAACTGGGCATAGATTTTCTGCTTGCTTTATACAATTTTTGGCGTGAAGCAGTAAGTTCAAGTTATCAAAATATCCTTGAAGTTACGTATTCGTTCGATCGAAGTCCTATCCAAAATGGGTATTTACGTATCATTTCAAGTGAGTAGAATCGAAACGTAACGACTATCGAACGACATCTTGGATTGTGAAATTTGACATTTAGTCGTCGAAAGTCTATTGAAAGAACTATCAAAATTTTAGCAGAATGCGTACGACTTGTCGTTTAGAGTCGATTTAAGTTGGATTCATATACCAGAATACGCTTTAATATTATTAATCGAACATTTTTACGCCATAAATCGATAAATCGTTGACAATTTTTTAAGCGACTATAAAAACAGGAGCAGGTTCTCGTTCGACTGTTTTTTTTTATGTACGCGATCACTTATAATGATTCTTTTTTTGTTGGAAAAATGGTAGGGGAGAGGTGTGTCAATTGTAACAGGGAGGCAATTGTAACATCTATTATTTCACGACATCTATTGACGAGTAGCGGATGCTCTTGATATCAATCGAAGCTTTACTTGATGCTGTTTTACCGACCGAACGTACAGGTACTTCACGCATCCGCAGTCAGTAGATGACAGTTTGAAATGAAGCGTGTTTATCAAAATATAAAGCTTAGTTCAGTTTTTGTTAATGTAATGAAATAAAACAGTATTACAGCGTTCAGTGGTGGATTTTTGTAGAAGTTAACATCTAATCTATACGTGCAGGTATGTGAGTTGATCAAGTTTACCATAGATTTTTGTTATCTAAGTCTTCATTGCCAAAAGACGGCAGTGGTGCAAAAGTAACAAAACAAGGAGGTGCAATTGTAACATGCCACAATTGACACCCTGTATTTTCACACTAGTTAATTATCATAAACTTCTGACAAGATTTTGTTTCATTTATTTTTTATTGTTGACGATTTTTAACCGACTTCGAAAAAAGGAGGAGGTTCTCAATTCGGCTGTATGTTTTTTTTGTATGTATGTTACGCGATAACTCCGGTATTTGTGAACCGATTTTCATGATTCTTTTTTTGTTGGATAGAGGGTACCTCCATAGTGGGTCCATTTAATTTTGAAATGATCATGAAATGAAACTATTTTTCCGGATTTAAATCGCGTATATTTGTTTTTTCAAACAAACTGAAACTGAAAAAAAAATGATCATGAAAATTAATTTTTATAAATAGCGACTAAAGTTGATTATAAGGAGCTTTTATTTTAATGGTTGATTTTGCTATTCTCCAATTCAAGGCGTTTTTCTCTCTCAATACACTTTGAGTAGTGAGAACCGATTTTTCTTATCTCCTGTGTCAAGTCCCGTATAGTGGCGAACTAAGGGATGAATTCGGGTTTGCGCACTTTCCGGTAACCGATTTCAATAAACACATACTTTTGAGGTCGGTTTTTTTAGTACTCTATTCTGAGATTATGTATGTTACAATGGACTCACATTGCAGGTACGATTGACCCCTCTTGGTGCAGCAATTGTAACGTTATTAGCTGATTTCAACAAGTGTAGTTTTCTAGAATTTTATCAATTTTTGTTTAATTTGATTTTATTATTAAATAACTCAAAATGATTGTGGCCAAAAATTATTGCGCTGTATTTGCTAATTAAAATATTATGAATAGTTTTTTTTTTGTTACTACTGACACACCTCTCCCCTACCACCTAAAAATATTCCACCTCAAAGGGTGGCAAACTAGGGGATGAATACAGTTTCGCGCACAGATTGCAATAAAACTTGACAAATAGGTATAAAACCACGAATTTTTGAGATCGGTTTTTTTTTGTAAAATAGTTACAGTTATGAAGCACTAAAGTTAATTGTTTCAAAGTATTTTTCTCTTACTTAAATTAAAAAAAATCCTGTTCTCTTAAGTGTTGTTTTTAAATAGAATCTTGGTTTAATTTAATAGTAAAATGATCGTCAGTCCTTGTGGCGCCGCCAATTCGATTGCGGCCATGTTGAATGGTCGTTTCAAGTCTGATTATGCGTAGCTGCATCTTTATCAGGCGGGTGAATTCTTTTTTTTTATTAAGAAACACGTCGTAAAATAAAATGGAATGGGTTCAATCAATACTTGCATCTTATCGCATAAGATAAATACTATGTTTCGCTTAAGTAATTGAAAGAATAAAATAAATATGATACCAGACAATTCTCCGGTTCATTGCGATGATCAGCTTCCTGTGAGGACCAGGGTTGAATTTGCGCAGGCGCTGCTCTTACTTATTCTAGATTATGCTGATGTCTGTGTCATTGACCTCAATGAGGATCTATTAAGCATACTCCAGCATCTACAGAATCTTTACATGAGATTCATATATGGATTACGCAAGTTCGATCGTGTGTCTGAATGTAGGAGAAGGCTTCAGTGGCTGCCCTTCAAGTTGCGCCGTGAGAAGCACGTTCTTTGCTTTCTCTATAATGTTCTATATAACCCTCGTACTCCGCCTTACCTTAAGGAACGTTTTCGCTTGAGGAGGATCACAATCGTGAACTTAGGTCTAAAATGGATAACCAAGAGAATCCCCCTTTCATCATGTTACTAGGACAAAGTTACTCTAACTAAACTTACTCCAAGTTTAGTAGCAGTAGAGCTCCTTGTGAAAGAGTTCGTCCAGGGAAGTACTGCCACCGGACCCATTTCTGCCGCCATGCAGTAACGTGAGGTGCTGGTGAAATTACAAGCACATGGGACTTTTTGGCACTTGGAACTCGTTGAGACATAAAGGTCTGAGGGGCACAGCAACTGTTATGGACTGGCTTTAACGAAGTTAGAAACATTGACATTACTATGCGTATTGAACTTGAAGTTACTAGTACAAAGTTACTCTACTAAACGAAAACCCATGCCCAGTAATGGGCTATATTAAGTCCAGTATTAAGTAATTAAGTAAAAAAGTAGTAAGGCCAGTATTAAGCGTAGTACGGACGTGGAACAGGTTGATGATGTTGGTAATACAAAAAGTCGACTCCAACACCTTTAATGCAGTAAATACTAGAATTGACATTCCGTTAACTTCGAACGTGCTTTTTATTCGCCCATGACGTCCGTCAGGGTCAATTTCATTTAAGCGGTTGTTTTACGTAACCCGATTACACCAGTGTCAAATTTGAGGTAATTCTATCTACAAAGAAAGTGTGAAAAAACGAAAGTAAGCAAAAGTATTGATAATGAATTTTCCATTGGTCACCATTCGTTTATTTTTCTTGACCACTAGCCTGAGACCGTGAATTTGTGAGCGTGGATAATTAATAATTACATTTTCTCAAACATGCTCGGAAATGTTTGCATTACTTTCAAAAAACGAACGCAAAAAGTTTGTTATTTATGGACCGAAAATAAGTACGAAAATCCAATAGCGTTTTTCTAAACTTTTATATCAACTATGAAAATAGGCAAAAGAAAAAATCATACAGCCTACAGCCCAATGTTCGTAATTGCGAGAATTTAAAATACTTATCTGTAACACTTGCTTAAAAAAAAAAAGAAAAGTAAGAGCGAGAAGAGCGATAACGACACATAAAAATGGACTGTACTCCGCCTAATTTAAAACAAGAGGCAATATTAACCATGGAACGAAAAGTCCTAACATGTCAAATATTACTTTTAATATTTTTAACTTTTTCAATTATACACCTTCTGATTTCCTTTTATCATTTCCGCACATTGTTTGAGAAAAGCACAATAGGCCTCGGGGATTGCTTCACCTTGCTCAGTCTTGTAACTCATTGACGGCCTCCGTGGTCGAGTGGCTTGCACACCGATTTTCACGGTGTCGCCATCTCTGAGGTCCGATTCGATCCCCGGCCGAGTCAATATAGAAAACTAACTTTTCTATATTGTCACGGGTCTGGGGGTTTGTGATGCCGTTGTTGTTTCCGATTTCCATAACCCAAGTGCTTTAGCTACTTACTTTGGGATCAGAGCAACGTATTTGATGTTGTCTAATATATAATTATATATACTCGTCCGACTATCCCTTACTTCTCTGTGTCTAATGTATTATAACTTCAATATACAGAACATATTGAGATTTGAAGGGCGTAGTGACAAAAATAAGAGATAGGTACGTTGAGGTAGTTTGGGCATATTGAGAGGAATTAAACTAGAGTGACGAAAGTGACGTCATACCGTCAACGAAAGTTTTTCTTTTATGATAACTAGTGACAGTGACGGGACGAACACGCGTGTGTCTGGTGGTAAGCGACACGCCTGTATCGCTTACTTTAAAAAGAAGAAAA